AATTAAAATCTAGCATTGACCAACACTGTTAGATTGATTAGAGTGCGGGAGTGATTATTAATATGAATCAATGATTGTGTTGTAATTTCCTATCATTTACTAAAGATTTACTGTTTTTGTATTTCAAGAAAAGAATTTGTGAGGTAGACAAAGAACTTATGAGAGAGAAAAATATAAAGTCAACCAAAAAAAGAGAAAAAAAAATAATCAAAAAATATAAAGGTAACAACTCATTTCAATTATAGAGGGGCGTTCTTGACTTTTAAGAACATTTCTAAATTCCTAATTAGGCCTTTAATCCTGATTAGGAATTTGTTTAAAATATAGGCCTGATTTTGAATTTTGGTATTTCAGCTAGATTTAAATGGGATTCTCCCTATTTTTTTATAATCAATTAACTTATTTAATTTTTAATCTAAATAAATTAATTAAATAGCTTTTATATATATATATATATATATATATATAGTCAAAATAAGAAGATAAACACCATGTGGCTTTCCCTTACCCTGGGTGGAAAAGTTGGATCAGTTAATGCTACTAGTTGACCGCTGTTTCCATTGACGTTATTTTGCCGATTATACTATGACACGTGATTAGATGTTATTGGAAAAAAATAACATCACTTTCGTTAATGAGCAAAAAAATCTTCCTGGTACTTTGGTTCGTACGCTTAGTTGGGCGTCTCTAATAGTCTAATTTTTATTTTTAGATGAAAATTGAAAAACAAACGTTTAAAAATTCAGAAAAGTAAAAAAAAAGTTTCCACCACTAGGCTCTCAGTCTCTTTACGTAAGAATAATTAATTAGTTAATTTAGTTCAAAAAAATAATTAATCATGTTTCACTTTATCTTCAAAATATTTTTTATGATTTCTTTAAAGTTTTAAAATTTAATTCATTTATTAAATTGCATTTCTTCATATTAAATTATTTTAAATTTATTGTATTATGTAAAATTATTTTTTTAATCATATTTCATTATTTATTAAAACTCATATCCATTTTGGTCATTTTACGACTAAACTTACTTTTACTCAACCATAATCAAAACAACTTTTTACTAATCTTATTTTTGCAAATTAACTTTTCTAAACTTTAATTCAAACACAATTCAGCTTATCAAATTTAGTTTTTATCCAATTTCAGTTTTTTATAAGTTAAATTGGCAATAAATTATTTTTTAATAGCTAATTCAAACACACCCACATTCGGCAACGACCTGGCAAAACCATGAGTGCTGTGCTAGAATTATTGATGTCCTTGTGGTCCCCCCAGGACAGCCCTTTCTGAGGTTCTTGTAAGGTTCTTCATGTGCTGAGTCAAATCAATTATCGATGGAAAACTATAAAAGGAAATTGGGGACAAATCCCCATTTGAAATATTTGTTGGGAAATGATCCCTAGAAATCTATGAAGGATAAATGACCACAATACCCTTAATGAAGATAAATTGCACATATGAAAATTTCAGTTTTCCTTGAATGAAGATGCTTTGCATTTAAGGAAGTTCAGTTGAACGTAACATATTTTGAATAGGATGAGATATACATTGTACACAAAGAAGTTTAGTTGCATTTAAAGGAAGATATTTTGCATGTATAGAAGTTTAGTTGCACAAAAAAAGTTAAGATATATTACTCGTAAGGGAACTTTAATTACACTAAAAGGAAGATGATTGGTACGTATGGAAGTTCAATTGCACAAGAGAATGGAATTTTAGTTGCACAACTTCTCTTGTGCACCGAAACTTCCATACGTGCAAAACATCTCCCATCACGTATAACTAAGTTTTTTTGGTATGGAATGTATCCTTGCTTGTGCTACTGAATGTTTATACGTACAAATCTTGTGCAACTAAACATCCATATGTGCAAAGCATCTTTTGTCAAATGCAAGTAAGTTTCTTTGATTGTTAGAGCCGAGAAAATAAGCTGAACCCGTCCGACCGGCCCATCTAAGCTCGAAAATTATCAGAGCCGGGCTTGAGAATTTTTCTCTCAAATAGAAAACAGGCCTTGACCCTGTAGGGTCAAGGACTTAAACAGGCTAGTCCTACAGGGCCAAAGGTCGGCTCTTTTAGGCCTTTTTATAATTTTTTTTATTTTTTTTAATTTTTATGTAATTCTAATATTATTAATTTTTTATATTGTTAATAATATTTCAAATATTTAGTTATTATTATCATTTTAAAATTAAATTTCATAGAATGGTTTGATTTATTTCGTTTTAGACAATGATTTATCCAATTAAATTTTTTATAAAATGGGTTAATTTGAACTTTAATAATGATTTGATTTATATTATAGGTGTTGATATTTTTAAACTATATATATTTAATAAGAGAGTATTTTTATATTTATATAACTTGTGATTCTATCATTTGAATTAGAAATTTATGAGTTTCAACAACAATGTTTCTCAAATTAAAATAAAATAATCGCTAGATTGCAAAATTTAAAAGTGAAGTTCTTATAAAGAAGAAAGACCTTATATTTTTGCTACGAAAGAAAATCATACTTATTCAGGAGAGTAATTGATACAGTGATGATAAAGTTTCAAAAGATTAATGACAATATTTATTTATTACACATTTGCACTATAAATGAAACTTTTAGATGTTGTTATCTTGTTAATGAATGTTTTAGATATTTTTAAATGTTGATAAATATTTATATATGAAGATATTTTGTATTTGTGACTTAATTTTATTCATATTTATGTCTTTTATCAATAATTTTATTGATTTACTTTTATTTTCTTATAGAAAATGTGAGAAATATGAAAAATAAGTCTTTTTTTCCCTTAAATAGGCCGAAAGCCTGTGAGGTTGCCCTAAGCCTGTTAACTTAAGGACCGAGCCTAGCAAATTGGGATATTTTTAAAATTTTGGCCTTGTAGGGCCGGCTGGCCCGTATTCCCACTTCTATGTGCAATGTATCTTTTCTTTTGTAACTGAATTTTTATACTCGCAAAGCATTTTTCATTTAGTGCAATTGAATTCCTTTTCATGTAATCTATCTCATATTCTATTCAAAATATGTTATGTGTAAATAAATTTCTATATGTGCAAAGCATCTTCTTTGAAGTGTAACTAAATTTCCTTACATGCAGCCTATCTTTTTATTCTGTTCAAAATATGTTATGTGGAAATAAACTTCCACACATGCAAACAATATTCCTTTAAGTGTAACTAAATCCCTTATGTGCAGTCTATATTTGCTAAGGACATTATGATCATTTCTTGAGCATATTTAATTGTCTTGAAGGACCTGAATCTTTCACCAAATTTCAGGGACCATTCCCCAATAAAGTTTCAAATGGGGATTTATCCCCGATTTTCCCAAAAACATTTCATCAGGGCATGCTCTTGCACAAGAGAAAAATTGGTTGGCAATGCACAAAACCAGATCAATCTAAAAAATGCTAAATCCTTTTTTCAATACTAAATAAGCATATTTTGGTCTATGGATAACTTTTTGTAATAAAAAAAATACAGCTGATCAATTGTTTTGAAATTTGATTTTTAATCTTGTGTTGTGCAAAAAAGATGAGTCTTAAAATTATTCTAATGTTTGCAATATTCTATAACAATGCTTTTGTAGTTTTTCCTGTGATAAAAATGCTACCAGTCTTTATAAAATTATAGGATGTTGTGTTGTTTGTGACAACTTATTATGAATAGGATAGTTTTTCTCATGTAAAGATTCCTCCACAGTTTAATTTATTTGAAAATTATACTATTTAAAGTAAATGAATTAATAAACGTAATCACACAACTGGAGTCAACCATGATTTGTCTTTTAAAAAAGCCTATTATTTATAGGGGTAAAAGACGCGTTTTTCAACGAGACATGATTTAAATGTTTTCTTTTTTGGCATAAATCATGATTTAGACGTTCAAACGCGCTTTAATGTTTCAACGCCATTTTTTTTAAAGGCCAAAAAATACACCATTTTTTTTTTTGCCCTTGAAAGACAGCTTACCTTCCAAATATTGTTTTTAACTCCTGAATTTTTAATTTTGACCAACAATGTTGTAATTGTTTGTAACTTGAATCGTAAAAATATAAACAATTTGTATAATTTGAACAATGCACATGTGGTCAAATTTTTCTCTTTTTTTTAACTTCTCAATGTATGAAATTTCTCATATTCTGGCTCTCTACAAGAGAAATTATTTAAAAAATTGCACTAGTCAGTAATAATCCATCACGTGCTAATTAAATTTGATCTTTTGCTCTTTGTTCTTTTCTTTGAATTTCCTTTTATAATATTTACAACAAAGTTTAATAATAATAATAATAATAATAATAATATACATACTGAGAAAATTATATTAAAAAATTTGGTAGAGTTTCTTTCCCATTTTAACTTCTATGTAACCCATATTTTTTGCCAATCTATGAAACCCCTATTTAAATTAATTCTTGTTGACAGGTATTCTTGATGGTGAAATGTTGGTTTGGGGTAAATCCTAGAACCGTTTTGCTGAATTTGGTTCTAACCAGGAAATCGCAAAGGTGGCAACAGGTGGGCCTGATAGTGATAGACATTTATGTTGTGTCCTTGAACTAGATGGGCTCACAACCATGGAATTCAGCTTTTAAGGGCGCTTTTGTGGGTTGGGTCTCAGTGGAAGAATGGTTTTCTAATTTATTGATGATTAATCACTGAACAATTTTTAAATAGTCAACATTATTTTCATGGTTATTTAACTTCGAATTTTCTATTCTCATTTCAACCAACAACAATTTTCTTTTGGGGAAAAAAAATCTATTCTCTGCGTGGTCAAAAGAATCAAGCCATCACCCCACCTACTACGTGATTATCTTAACATCATGATTTGCTTAATCGCTTTCCTTGACGGGTCATAAACTCCAAACCTTTGAAAATTCTATCATCTTTACAGAGCTAAATAAATCCCTCCTTAAACTCCCACAAATCTCACACAAACTGTCATGGTAATAAAAATCATGGCACACAAATCCTCGTTTTTTTCTCTCATTCTTCTTCTTCCACTGTCTCTCCTTATTACTTATTGCAGCCCATGCAACCAGCTTCAGCTCAATAATACTAAATCCATCTCGAAGACGAATACTACAAGAAAACAGAGTTGTTCTCGCAGAACAAGACGCAGAGCCGCTTGATTATAGATATGCATGTTTGGACCGAAGTGGTATGGCTCCATCAAGAAAATACCAAAGCAATCTCAAGAATCTCATGTCTTCACTTTCTTCTGTTGCCTCAACCAGCAATGGATTTGGTAACAGAACTGCAGGTAGTAATGAAGATAAGGTGTATGGGCTTTATCTTTGTAGAGGGGATGTGAATTCAAGTTTATGTCATTCTTGTGTTCAAGATTCTAGCAGATTGATCCAACAGCATTGTCCCAATAATGCTACTGCAGTTTTATGGTACCCATTTTGCCTTCTCAGGTATATCTTGTTAAATTTATATTTCTGTAAGCAACTTTGTACGGGTTTACTTAAACAAAAAGTTGTCAATTAAAATTTATATCTGGAATACGGGTTAATACCCTTTTTAGCCTCTAAAGTTTGAAACTAGTGTTTTTAGATGGACCAAAATAAGATCAAATTTCAAGGACTAAGATTATTGGTTTCAAGAACCAAAACCAAAATGAAGTCCAATTTTAGGGACTAAAGATGATATTAATTCTCTTGAATAAATAAGATAAGAATTCATCATCGTGATCAGACTACAATTATACCATTTGCATTGATTACATGAATTTATGCTACCGATTGGATTCATGAAAGAAATTCTGCTAGCATTAAATAGGTACTCAAACCAGGATTTCTTCGACAATCTAACGCTAAGGCCTCGGATTCCCATGTTTGATGCATCACAAAACTTCACGAGTGCAGGAGAGTTCGACAGTGACGCTACGATTCTGATGAACGGTTTGATACAGACAGGTTCAAAGACAAACCTGATGTTTGGGACACACGTCTTCAACATAAATGGCACCCAGAAAAGGTATGGTTGGGTTCAGTGCAGCAGAGACATAACCAATGATGAGTGCAGAACATGTCTGAGCAATATGCTAGAAGATGTTGAGAATTGCTGTGAAGGCAAGAAGGTTTGGAGAATCTTTTCTCCTAGCTGTATTGTTATGTATGAGACTCAGCCTTTCTTTGTAAATTATCCCGGGTTGATTGCTCCAGCGCCCCAGCCAGGTATCATTTTGCTTCTTTCATGATATGGTAGGTGCAATTTTGTGCATTTCATGGAACTCGGAAAATAAATAGTGCTATTCACAACTTGTAAATAATATGATATGTTGACATAAACGTGAAAATAACCTCTTTTCTTGAAGATTATTCTAAAAATAGTTATCAAAAGTTTGATTGTATATGCAAATCCGTTTGCATCTTTCATTGTCAGTGAGCATGTGAAAACTAAAGACGAGCCTCTTGAAAATTACTTTCCAAGTCAGAAAACCTTGAAAAAAAAAAAGGCTGCAATTTTATTTAACTTATTTATTTTGCAATTTCGCAGGTGAGGAAAGTAGTAACAGGCCAATGCTTATAGTTATCGTTGTTATAAGTGTAGTAGTAGTACTAGCTCCACTGGCTTTCTGCACAATCTACCTGAGGTTCTTGAGAAAGAAAAAAGGTAAGTTCTAAGTGAAAAGGCTTGAAGAATTTCATTCAACAAATGGGGTATAAATTATTATTTTCTTATTATGTTTGATAACAATGATTGCAGACAAACAAGCAGTGCAGGAAGATGGGCTAAATCCAGTATTTTCTCAGGATCAAACTGACGAAGAGAATTCTATGAGTACTGAACTTCTGATGATGTCCCTGAAAACTATTCTTCAAGCCACTTGTAACTTTTCTGAAGAATGTAAATTGGGAAAAGGTGGATTTGGCTCTGTTTACAAGGTACTGAATTTATATACCATATATACTTACTTATTTAAGTTATTTTCACCTTCTCTGCCTTCACAACATTCTTAGATTTAGTTTATGTTAGAACTTTCTTTAACCTAATCCTACACTTAAAATTCTGAAAACCAGGGGAGACCGGGTTACGGGATTTCAGATCCCACTATGAATAATGAGATGTTCTACTAGAGTATTTAAGCCAGTTAGTCCTCCTATCTCAATATCTAACTTATGTTGAAGAGTTCTCAACTTTAAGATGCCCATCCATTAGCATCGGAGTTTTTAAGTTGGCAACTCTAATCAACATAGAAGGTGAATGAAGTGGGCACAGTAAGTGCCTTCCGAGACATCAACTCTCCATAGGTGGAAATTGATGGTGATAATGTATGGGATACTTAGTTTCAATTGAAATAGTATGAAATACTTTACATGTTAGTTCTTCCAACTTGGCACTTAGGAGAGGTTTCTTCACACTACTTGGATCCCCGTAAAAAGAAAAAAATTTGCACTAACATCTCTTATATTAAGCTTTGAAAAAAATCATTAATCTTTAGGTAATTTTGCATTATTGGATCAAGCTACTGGAAGTTTTTAAGGTAAAAAAACTGCTCAAGGTAGAATCTCTCCTTTGAAAGACAGTAGCTTTGCAAAATTCAAAGCAAAGAGGATGTGACATAAATATGAAAGCTTTAAAGATAAGTCAGATTTATTCTAGTTTAATTGTTTCTCTTTCAACTTTCTTACTTTTGAAAGCAAAAAAAAAAATGGTGGTTGCAGGGTGTTTTATCTGATGGGAAGGAAATAGCAGTAAAGAGGCTGTCAAAAACTTCAGGGCAAGGATTAAAAGAGTTTAAGAATGAAGTGATCTTGATTGCAAAATTGCAGCATCGGAACCTTGTGAGATTGTTAGCTTGCTGCATTGAGCAAAATGAAAAACTACTTGTTTATGAGTACATGCCTAATTCTAGCCTCGATTTTCACCTCTTCAGTAAGTTACACTTACCTCTTCTGAGTTTCACTGAATTTTTACAAACATCCCTATTGGGTATGGGGTGGCATTTTATATTATAAAAATCTTCCGTTCAACTTTCTCATTAATCCCATTTCATCTGAGTATCAGCAGAGTCTGCAATTCTTATAATTTTATTGCTTTCAGATATGGAGAAGCGTTCCCAGCTGGAATGGAAGCTGCGATTGAGCATCATTAACGGAATTGCAAAAGGACTTTTATATCTCCATGAAGACTCTAGACTAAGGGTTATTCATAGGGATCTAAAAGCTAGTAATATACCATTAAACCATGAAATGAATCCAAAAATTTCTGATTTTGGATTAGCAAGAGCTTTTGGAGGCGACCAAAGGCAAGCAAATACTATTAGAGTTGTGGGGTACCTAGTAAGTTCATTTAAAACGCTTTCTGTTATTGTTATAGCATTTGAAAGCCAATATTTTCATATGAACACACAACATAAAATTAACTATATTCATTGATTTTTTTTTATTTTGAACAGTGGTTATATGGCTCCAGAATATGCTATGGAAGGCTTGTTTTCAATAAAATCAGATGTTTTCAGCTTTGGTGTTCTCCTACTAGAAATCATTAGTGGAAAAAAGAATGGTGGATTCTATCTTTCACAGCACCGTCAAAGCCTTCTCACATATGTATGCTTTCTGACTGCCTCTCTTCCTCAACAATATACTAAAGGGGACAAACAAATCGAATGGAATTTTCAAGCTTTTGAACAGGAAAACAACACAATTCATCTTCTTAGGCCAAGATCTGATTCCAACTTTGAAAAAACAAAAATGTCTTTCGTTTCAAGCAATTGAAATATCCTTGATGACTTCAGAAAACATTGCTCCATGTGCCATAATTGTATTGAAAAATCCTGAACCGACTTCTGAAAAACTAACTAAAACTCAGAGCATTTTCTTATAAAATTTGCTTTTTATCTAACCTAAAAACGCATTTACCATGTAGGCATGGGGCTTTGGTGTGAAGGGAAGGGCTTAGATCTAATGGATCCAATATTAGGAAAGGTCATTTGAACCTTCTGAAGTTCT